CTGCGCGGCCGTTGGTAACCCCGGCGTCAATACCATGAGTGGCAGGTGGCTGAATTTTAAGGAGGCTTGCCACGGTCTCCAACCCTCGTCCTTTCTGATCCGGGCTTGGGGCCGGCAATGGCGGAGTTCCATGCTATACAGTTTGCCCTAATTCATTTATGCCAGTCAGATGCGCCGATTCGTTAAAGGATGAATGTTGCCATCGTTAGTTAACCCTGTTCTGAGGTACTTGAAATTGTGTACTTCGTGCAGCGTAATATCATTCCATTATATCCTTGGACTGTCGGCTCGCGGCACGCGCCCTCAGAATCTTCGACTTTTTGTTGTAGTCCCATTCTCATATTTTTATTGCGCACACTTTCAGTGAATGTAAGTAGGCTACTTATGGAATCGCTTAGCACCAGAACATAATCGGCATATTTAAGTTTTGTTAAGCATACCGTCGGGTATCTGGAGCTGCGTCGCTGACTAACTGTCAGTTCTTCACTTTTATTTGGGACGACGCACTTCCACGTGATGTAATCCGTCATGACGTTGCATAACAAAAAACTGAGCACATTATCTTGACGAATTCCTGTGGGAAAGTTGATCAAATGGGACCGTGATCCTTCTGTTCGGACGTTGCATTTAGTCCTCTCATAAAAAGCTTCTGTCAGGTTTACCATGGCCTCTGAAATCGTAGTGACGAATAACACGCCACATTGTCTGGTGATACGCTGAGTTGAAGATTGCACGTGAGTCGAAACGTCGCGTGTCAGGGCTCCTGCAACGCTCGCTTATTCTTTCAGTGTTCCCCACGGAAGCCTCCCTGACTGGTTCGCAGAGAATCATCTATGGCGTAGTATAAGGAGGTATATCGGTCTTTGGTTATTTTGCCTCGTCAGATCGTCTCCGCAGGGTTATGACAGGTATGCAGATGTAACGCTGAGGAGGACTCGTTGGGTAAAGAATGGCGTTGGCGGATAGAGTTATAACGTTCAAGGAAGATTTCTAGCAGGTAATCACAGTGGTTGAGTGATTGGTAACGTGAGTACGGCAAGCGAATTTAACGATGATAAATTGGCGAGTGTTTTCGTGGCAGAAGTATATTCAAAAACGACGGCATTTTCTCTTATGATATATTATCATGAACGTTGCTGCCAGTATTTTCGGAGACGAACGGCTGATAGTTGCAAGTACGCGGAGAGAGAAACAACGAACTAGTGGAAAGTTGGCAGAGTCGTAGGATCGGAGGGCGACGCTGATGGAGATTTGCATCTTCGTTTCCCACGGCGGAGGCGTGATCGGCAGTTGCATCAGTCGAACCTCAGTCTCTCGCTATCAGGAATTTCGTCAGTGAGTGTCAGTGTCGCGTTTGAGCGCCGTTCTTTTCAGAGATGCCGCTGCTGTGAGCTGATTCACTGATTCGTCAGTAATGATCAGCTGATCTTTCAGCCGTCGAAGAATGAGAATGTGCAACAAGGACGCAGTCAAGAGGAGGAGTGGTCCGTGTTTACATTCACTTGAGGTCGATTTTCGGCGCTGCAGTGACTTATGCGCTCACGCGAAAGTATCGGCGCCAGTCAATCTCAGTTTATACTTGTGGCAGAGAGCGCTGGCTAGGTCGTTTATCGTTTCGGTGCGCTGGTCACTTGGTCGCCATAGTCGACTTCTGACCAAGTGGCCGATGGTGGTATTTCTGTTTGGTCTGGCGCGTTTGAGTAGTTAATTTTCTTTGTTGATTTCTTCTTGCTTGGCATCCTTTGCCGTTCTGAGGCAATGCAGTAACACCGTTCTTCTGCGTATTCGCGAACTTCAGACTTCTTGTTTTGCGCTGTTTTGTTTTACGACGTGCGCTGACCGCTAACTGCGTCACATCTCACAAGTCGAAGAGTGGCGGTTGAATCATGCTGCAGCATCGATGACGGTACTATCTCCGCATCCAGGCAGGCTTCCCTCACCGTGACTCTCACTTAATCACGTTGTTTGCTAGCGCCGATCATCCGATTTCCCGTCGCATGAATGTCTGACAGGTAGCAAGTTTCAGTGTATTACAAGTGTGTCCGTGCACCCGCGCACACAAGCAAAGTTCGCTCTTATTTCCATGAGGTAGCTTCCTCAACGATGGCATGAGCACGACCGAAAGTAGCAACAGCAGCCGCCGCTGCTCTCTGTATCATGTCTTTTTTCGTATCTGCCTGTCGTCTGAGCCGGCTGAAACTTCGATCCCAGCGACGCCTCAGTTAGCAAAATACGGGGCCGGTTTCGTCTGTTTCTTCATACGCTTCGGCAGCTGTTGCATTTTCGTCGTTTGTGCGACTGTTTTGAGTTCACTATCGTGGTGGATGCTATCCGCTGCTAACGGCAGTGGTTTTGACCAGCGGAAAGCTGCGCCGTTGGCTGTTGCGGCGGCGACAGTGGTCAGCACTTGATTCGTACGATGCGGTACGACGTGGCGCCCACGCCGGCTATCCGCACGAACCTCAAGCACGGCGATGCCCGCGGCGTGGCAACAACAGCGAGTATGCGTCAGCGTTTGCCTCGGCTTTAGCGTTGTTGCGCGTGGCTCACTCTCTATTGGACCATCTCTGATCGCGCTGCAGTGCTGTACATTTTTTAGCGATGAGCAAACAGGCAGCACTTTACAAGAAGTATTAATAGTTGGTATTGCTGCACAAGTTCACACCCCGTGTGTCTTCGCTCTTT